GTTAAAGTCTTAAACCCCAGTATCTCAGAATGTAACTGTATTTGGAGGTAGAGCCTTTAAAGAGGTGATTATGTTGAAATGAGGCTATTGAGGTAGGTTCCAAACCAATCTGACCAGTGCCTTTATAAAACAGGGGAATTTAAACACACAAAAGAGACCCCAGGGGCATGTGTGCACAGATGGGTGACCATTTGAAGAGGCAGCAGGAGGGTGGCCATTTACAAGCCATGAAGAGATACCTCAAGAGAAGCCAAAAATTATGAGAAAATAAATTTTTGTAGTTTAAGTCACCTAGTCTGTGGTATTTTGTTATGGCAGTCCTAGCAAACTAATACAGATGCTAAAATGATAACTATGTCCACCATTCAATTAAACTTGAAAATGCATATGGGGATATAGAAGTGAATATATCATGTATCCTGGAGCAATAATTCTCAATTGATGAGATGTAGACAGTCAAATCTTCTGGAGAGAATGTGGGTCATATATAATTTTAAAAATTCCCAAAAATGATTCTAAATTTCCTTCTCTTCCCACTTAGAAAAACTATCTTAGACTCAACTCTGTGCAATAGCACACATAAATAAGGGCAAGGGTATATTACTACTTCTCTTGGCCACTCAATTAATTCTATTTACACTTTTATAGTGATAGCATATACAATTTCACCAACTAGAATATAAACATTATCACTAGGTATCTACCTTATGTATAATATTGGGACTGATGTTACTCATTCCCTTCCATTTTCATTCAAAATTTTATGGCAATTTACCACTTACATTGGAGTTTATAAGGAAATGAAAGAAAATTGTTTTTCTTTGAAGGGGGCATAGATAAAGAGTGGTAAGACAGGGGAAAGAGCAATAAGCAGAATAACTGAGAATATTCCATGAGATTCTTTATTCTCACATATAAATTCTCCATCCTATTAAAAGACATGACTGTGACAGTTCCAAGTTTCAGCTGCCCACTATGTTCCCATCCACTTCATTTCCCAAATGTGTTTAAAGCATTAACAACAGCTTGTGTTTCATCCTAGAGACAGCTGGGTTTCAGTCAGAAGTAAATGTTTCATTATCTCACTCTATTGTCCAAGACAAATGTGCTATTGTATTACGTGTGAAATGTCATCTTTGAAGTTTATTAAGGATGTGCTGTGAAATGAGCCCTCTGGAAAACACAGTGTAGACTGAAAAATAATTATAAGCCAGTTTATTGCTTTTTTTTCCTGTTAAGCCTACCATGACACCTGCTGAAAACACTATGTAGTGTAAAGAGTAGAGGCTTTGAAGTCACACAGTTTATACCCCACCTCCAACAATGGTTAGATAATATACAAGTTACTTAAATTCTCTGATCTTTTTGTCTTGTCTGTAAAATTGAGATATTGATACATGCCACACAGAAGTTTTATGAGCACTAAATTAAATAACAGTCGTAAAGCACTTAGGACAGAGTAGACAATAAGTTTGATTTCTCTTCTCTTAAATATAGAGAATATTTAATATTCTTTATAGAGAGTAAATATTAGATAAAATCCAATATTTGGAAACTAGGTTGAGCTGGTCAGTTTTGCAAAGAAGTCCATTGAGTTTCCATGGGATCCTTTTTATTTCAGGATAGAAAAAGACTTTGGAACATCAAGTTTGAAGCTTATTTCAGAGTTCTCAGTCTGGAGCAGGTTAGGACCACCCAGACATGCGTGTTAGCAAAGCGCTGTCCGTGGTGCTAGTAAGCGCGAATGCCTCTGGCGACCTTTTCCCTGCGTAAAGTTCTCCATTCAACTTGCTTAGCGAAGCTCACATATCCATCTGGCGGAAGATTCTCAGTCATTCTGTTCATTGGCTTGTTCCCTATCTTACCACTCTTTATCTATGCCCTCTTCCAAGAAAAACAATTCTCTTCCATTTCCTTATCAAATCCAAACAGTCTTTATTTTTCAGATGCGTTGGCCATGCCTACCACCTAAGAAAGTGGCTCAGAAATCAGATCAGACTTTTTTCCTAACTTTTTTCTTTTTGAGACAGAGTCTAGCTCTGTTGCTTGGACTAGAGTGCAGGTATCATCATAGCTCACTGCAATGTCAAACCCCTGGGCTCAAGCGATCCTCCAGCCTCAGCCTCCCAAGTAGCTGGGACTTCAGGCGCATGCCACCATGTCCAGCTTATTATTTTTCATAGCAACAGTTTCTCACTATTGCTGAGGCTGGTCTCCTTACCCCTCAGCCTCCCAAAGTACTAGGATTACAAGTGTGAGCCACTGTGCCCAGCCTCTTTTCCTAACTTTTTGATAAGTTTCAGAGAAATCCAAAGTTCAAGGCAAGAACACAGGAAACAGTTCATTTCTAATGCATTCGTTTAAAACATTCTTCAATTGGCACCTTCTCTCAGAAACTTTCCCTGTACCTCCACCCTGAGTTAACTCCCTCTCTTCCTTACTCCCAAAGTACCCTGTAGATATATCTCTCAATAAAGTTATCATATTAAATTGAAACTCGATTTATTAGAGTGCCACTAGAGAAAGTTTCTTAAAAGTGAGAGTCCATATTTTATTCAACTGTGGATTTCTAGAATATAGGACATGCTGAATTAGGTTTTTTCATACTAAATTTAATTACTATTACTGGATCCATGAGAGAGAAGGTCCCAACAATGTTCCTTAAAAGGCAACCTTCCTTGTTGCATTTGACAGATATTATGGTAGCTAGGCTTTTCCAGTGAAGATATTATGTAATGAGTACATTTGCCACCACATCCACCAACATCAGTCTAGTGACGAAGCCTCTCAAGGTGACTGGTAAAGAACCAATTTACTTCAAAGGCTCCAGCTTCCCACTGCCCATCTTTTCTCCTCCCATTTTACCTACACACCTGTAATCCTCAGTACATTGTGCATGGGGACTGGTTCTCTAGATAAAAACTGCTTGTCAATGCTTTTCATCCAGAAGTAGACTTCTGTTTTTCTAGTTGAACCTAAGAATGGAGTGACCATCAATAAATTTTAAAACAACAACATTTTTTACAAATAAATGTAAGAGTTCAAAATAAGATTGAATTAAACTGAAAACTAAGAAATGGGGGTGGGATGGCAAAGAAGAAGAAATTGTTATTAATGCTGTCCCCTGTTCTCCTTTGTCTAGCTGGATTTTAGGACTGCTGAGCCTCAGTCAGTGTATCTTCAGCCCTAACTACCATTTCCATGGGCCCTACTGTCTTTAAAGGAAAAAGCCTTCCTTCCTTCTGCAGGGATTTGGGGGAGAGGGAGTTAGAGCTAAAGTATGCTAGGGAAAAAATGTGGAGTCTCTCATTTTTCAATAATCAAGCAATTGGCCTCCCTTTAAAGGTTGTCTTCCTTAGCATTCTCAACCCAAATGATTTTGTAAATAAAAATTGTTCAGTGTTAGGACAGGTTCACTCTTACGTAGTTCCTCACCAAAGTTTTTAGGCAACAGATACACAACTTGTGCTTCTCTTTTTATTCAATGTAGTATCAGCTGTAATTTTCTAAATCCTTAAAGCACTAAATATGTTGATTCAAACTCACCTAGGAAGATTAGGAAGAAAAAAAAGCACTTGGCCTTCAAATCTTCAGAAGAGAATTTAATGACAGGTTCAGCCTGTTTAATGACAGGCCCAGTACCACACCTCTGTTTTATTATGTTTCTTTATTACTGCATAACTTTCCTTTATTACTCATGATAAACAAAAATCAAATACTTGCCAAGGTGGGTTTAAATAGGTAAAAGTGCAAACAAAGATATACTGTACAAATATGAAACTGGGATCTCAGATTCTTAAAATATATATTTTTTGTCTTATGTGTGCCAGATTTTCACTGTCAGTCTCAAACTAGTTTTTGTTTTTGTTTTGTTTTAGGAGCGTATCCATAATTCAAAGATGAAAAAAGAATTAAAAAGCACCTGTAGGCCAGGCGCGGTGTTTCAAGCCTGTAATCCTAGCACTCCGAGAGGCCGAAGCGGGAGGGTTGCTTGAGCTCAGGAGTTAGAGACTAGCCTAAGCAAGAGTGAGACCCGTCTCTACCAAAAAGAAAAGGAAAAAAACAGCCGGGAATTGCGGAGTGCAACTACAGGGGAAGCTGGGGCAGAAGGACCGCTTAGAGCCCAGGAGTTGAAGGCTGCAGTGAGCTACAATGACGCCACTGCACTCTCTACCCAGGGCGACAGAGTGAGACTCTGTCTCAACAAAAAAACAAGCCAACTGAACACCCCTCTTCACAACCCCCACCCTTTCAAACTTAAAATAATAATAATAATAATAAAGCCCATGTAAAACCGGACTCTCAGGATTTTTCACTATTTTTATGGTTGATTCGAATCGGAAGACCCACGCAAAAGCAAATTGCTAAGGTTGATACAAGAGGTGAAAGTTGGGAAGTTCGAGCGCTGCTTGGGGATGAATTTTACTGGCAATGACAGAAGCAAACCTGCCGCATTTCAGGCACGGAGTTACTTTCAGTGCCTCTGGGTGTCCACTAACGTCTCCAGCCGGCCCCAGGCGGAAGGAGCCGACGCGCTGCGCTCCGCCTGCTGGGGCTTAGGCGCCGCGCGAGGGCAGGGGTCCGCATCTCCAAACCTTAGCCCTGGCCTTGCGCGGCGCGCAGCGAGCAGCCCCGCCGGCGTTCCGGGCGAGGCCGGGGCCCAGCCTCCGGCGCATGCGCCGCGGCACCTCCTGGCGCGCGGCCCCGCCCCCCGCCGTCGGTGACGGAAGCGGCGGCGGGCCTGGCCTCCCCGCAAGTTCAGTGGGCAGCGCCCGCCGCGGCCCGCCGACGAGGGGCGGAGCACAAGGGGGTGGGGAGAGCCGGCCGCGCCGCCAGCTGAAAACGGAATTCTTTCCCAGCTGGCTCCCCACTCTGCCAGAGCTTGGCCGGGCGGGGCGGGCGCCGCGACGCGTCCGCACTCGGGGCGGCCGTGCGCTTGGCCGTGGCCGCGCGAGACGCGCTTTCCCAGGGCCGGGCCAGGCGGGTCCTCCGCTTCGCGGGCGCCGGCAGAAGCCCAGAGCTAGCCGCCGGCCGCTCAGCCGCTGCACGGGCCCCCGGGCCGCAGGAGGACGGCGAGAGGGGGCTGAGGCTGAGGCGAGCGCTCCAGAGCGGGGAGCGTGCGCCGGGGCCGGGCGCGGAAGGAGGGAGGAGGGTCGCGGAGCTCACGGCCAGCAGCGGATTATCCGGGCCGCTCCGTGCCTGGGGGCCGCGACATGCGCGAGGAGAACAAGGGCATGCCCAGTGGTGGCGGCGGCGATGCGGGCCTGGCCAGCGCCGCGGCGCGGGGGCAAGTGGAGAAGGTGCGACAGCTCCTGGAAGCGGGCGCGGATCCCAACGGAGTCAACCGCTTCGGGAGGCGAGCGATCCAGGTAGGTGGGGCCCCGGGCCCGGCCGGCAGGGGGCGCGCGAACGCCGGCGCGGCCTCGGTCCGCGGGCCCCGGCCGGGACTGCGCTCACCGACGTAACTTGCGCAGCGGCCGCTCTTGCGGGAGGTGTAGAGCCCAGGCGTACAGCAGGCTTTCACTCTGCAAAAATCGTGAAGAGAGGGACTGGAAAACCTACTGCTTCGGTCTGGTTTTCTTTTTAATGGTGGGAAAATATAAATATTTTTCTGCCATCTCGTGACCAGAGATTTAAAGAATAGATTCAATTAGGGGGGAAAGGAAAGGTTATTTGGGGAGGAGGATTATTTTGTCCGTCTGCTTTCAACGATAAAGATAAGTCAATTATAATCTACACAATCTGGATTGGATTTAAGGAATTCTACAAACTCATAGCACCATGAAAAAACTTCAAGGTGAACTTTTAAGCCGCTGTTCGAGATCTTTTGTATTCTTTTCTTATAGAGGCAAACTGAGTTCAAAGGAATGCGACAGGATTCCTCAACCACAGTACTTAATTCCTTTTATTTTATCTTAGCAGCGTCCCTTGAGTGAGGCATAAGATTTTTTAAAATGCTTTTATAGATTTTTTTATGTTTAATTATCGTACTCAATGCTGTTAGGTCCTCTTTGAATGGCAAAGGGTCTTCATAAATAATGTCTCTTCATTGTTAAAATATGCTTGTTAAATGTTTTACTAATCCTAATCCCACTTTAATTAGTATTGATTTTTTAAATTCCTTTAAAATCTAAGATAATGGCTTTGTACTCTACTGTTTACTATTATGGTTATATTCAGTATTCACCTCATCATCACCCTCCATAATTAAGCTAATATTAAGGAATCTTGTTAACAGTGTAGATTTTTAAGAAAAATGTTCATTCCTTTTGAATTATTAGAAAAGTGGTATAACAAATAAGGGATATTTTAAAACAGCAAAAATATTGTAAAGTGGTACTTAAAGACAAAACTCTATACAAAACACTTTTTTCCCCTCTTTTGTGTATGTAAAATACCCTTTACATCACTAGTAAGAAATGGTAACTTATGGTTATGGTTTTTAAGGGAGGAAATGAACGTTTCTAATATTCATGAAACAAGCAAACAAACACAAAACACTAGAGGCATAATGCCTTTAAATTACATGGTACATTTTAAAGCACATAAACCCACAAGAACAAATAACTCCATTTTGAAAATTTAGTTATCAAAAATTGTTTTATCATTAACTTATAATGCAAAAGTAAATGCATGCATGATGTACATGTACACATATGGCTGCTATAGGATGACTCCTTTAAAACACTGATTTACTTAGTGAAGGACCATTCTGACTTGACTGCTAACATCTAAGCTCTTTTTATGTAGAAAATATTTGCTACTTAACATAAAATCTTAGTAATTATAGAATCCTGTACAATGTCAATATAGTGTTAATTTTACATGTTACATTGAATATATTGCACTATTAATATAGTTAATGTAACATGTAAAATTAAATGTTTTAATATAACATTGACTTCAAATATTAAAAATGGTGAACTGTTTATTTAAAACAAATCATTCGTTTTCATCATTTTTATAAGATTACGTGTGACTTGGTTTAGTTTTTCCCTTCTGATCTCCAATTTTGGCTCAAATGATGAGACTACAATACTTTTATGAGCACAGACACATATGACAATGAAAAACAAAAGCCTTCCACAAGGGATTTCCTAGGAGAACTAAACAAGCTAAACCTTCTTAAGAAACTTATTTGTTGCTTATTTTCCCCCCTTAAGCATTACTCCCCACTTCTAAAAAGAAATACCAGTTGACTACCTAATTAATATTTTTAGACTTGGATTATGGAGGGGTTGGGGAAAGCAGGAAGAAAGAGCTTTAAAAGCCACTTGAACTTCACCCCATAAATTAACAAAAGAGATTCCCATGTGCCCATGGAAATCAATAACTTTTTTCCTACAATGACGATAATCACTTTACCATCAGCTGGTTCTTGTCTCTGCACGTTTGGAGAATAAAATGTAATTTTAATTAATGCTGGGTAAAGAGTACAGTAACTTGGGGGGGGTGGAGATTGTGTCAGCAAATGAAGAGAAACCAGCCGCCAGATGCTTGCGCCCTCTGCGCTGGGTCGTTGCCGGTAGATACTTCGATTAAGGGCCTCCCGTGCCGCGGGCGCCGCCATCTTCTGCCCGCACCCTGGCCCTGACCGCTGTGCCCTCTCCCGCCCGCAGGTCATGATGATGGGCAGCGTCCGCGTGGCCGAGCTGCTGCTGCTCCACGGCGCGGAGCCCAACTGCGCGGACCCCGCCACCCTCACCCGACCGGTGCACGACGCCGCCCGGGAGGGCTTCCTGGACACGCTGGGGGCGCTGCACCGGGCCGGGGCGCGGCTGGACGTGCGCGACGCCTGGGGCCGCCTGCCCGTGGACCTGGCTGAGGAGCGAGGCCACCGCGACGTCGCACGGTACCTGCGCGCGGCCGCGGGAGACTGACGGAGGGTTCACCCAGCCGCCCACCACGACTCTTTTCCTCCCCAGTTCCCCACCCCCACCTAGTCCAATGAAGGCTACCAACGTGGAGCGGCGGAAAGCCTGCAAGCCTTCCGGAGCGACTCCACTCCCTGGAGGAAGGAGGAGCCAACCGGGAACAAGTTTATATTCGTTTTCTCTTAATCTGGAGCTAACCCTCAACACTCACCGTGAAGCCAAACGCGGAGAGGTGGATTTCCAGCCATGTTAAGCAGTGCGTGCGGGAAGCTCCAGGGTTTCCGAGTTTTCTGATGCACGATGCCCGGGGGTGGAGTGGGAGGAGGCGTTGGGGTCGTCGGTGTGCTCCCCCGCTGACTGCAGGAGGGCTCCGAGCTTGCTCCCACTCTTCGGGCGTTAGCCCCTGGGGGCAAGAGAAAACCTGAAGACTGAGGCCAAGAGGGATGACGGTTGAGGTGTGGGCTTCAGTAGGTGCCAAGTGCTTTACTCTCTATTCCCTGTGCGGTGTGCTCTGCTCGGTGCTCAGTAAGTCACCAGTAAAATGATTCTCTCTGGAAGCCCTAGGGACAGGAACTTGGCTCCACCAGCTAGCAGAGGGGAGGAGAGGGTGTGGAAGCAACAGCAACGGCTGATCTGCCTCATATCCTAAAATCCCAGGATCACGATGTTGCAGGGGGCAGCTATGGGACAGGTGCAGGCTCTGGCTCTTATTCCGTGAAGAGGAGATTCCCACTGAGTTCTGGATGCCGCCGAGTCTAACAGGATGAAGTGGTGGATTGCAGTGAGAGCAATTGTAACGGTTAACTGTAACATTTTGCTTCATCTAATAAGATACAGAAATCCCCCTATGAATTGCTACTTGAAAAGATTTCGTGATATTTTGTACTTTTGAGTTGTTCTTCAGTAACAGTCTTATTTAATTGGAAGACTTTACATAACAAAATAACTCGTGTCCTTCAGTAAAGAGGTGAGGAAGAACTCTTAAAGCTATGACACTGGCAAACTCGGTGCGAACCCCTAGATTGCCTTCATCCTTAACCTATTTATTTCTTTGTTAAATTCTTCTGATTGTTTCTTTATAGAATGTCTGGGGGGGGGGTCAAACTATGAAATATTCCAAATGTTTTCTAGAAGATAGATGCACTTATTCCATAAATTAATTATCTCGGGATATTTCCCAGGGGTTGCTAAAAAAGTAGATTGAGTATAAAACTGTGGAAAATATGTGATGAAGGCTTGTGGAGTATCTTAATATCTGCTGAACAAACTAAAGGTGCACTGCTTTGGGATTTAATTTCCAGTATTACTTGATTCATTGTATCATTGGAACAACTCATACTTCACTACTTTAATAAAGAATTAACAGTAGAGATTGAACTCCAAGGTGTGGATAATTTGGTTTAGAAAAGATATATTCAGGTATATACCACTAACTTCAGACAAATCTTAAGAGTTCAAGGGGTTTCCCTTCTCTCAACCCTTCTAATAACTGTTGATAAGCAATACCAACAATTTATAAAAACTGCATACATATAGAAAGTTAAATATAAGATTTATACATGTTTTATGCTCCTAAGTGTCCATTCTACTATGTATGTATACATTTAAAAGACAGAAGAGGACTCTAAAAAAAGTAATTTGAGAGTAGAGACTTATAGGAAGTGATGCCTTTGAGCTAAATACACAAATCTTTACTTATCTATCAATTCCTATTCCTCAAATTAATGTATTACTAGGGAAGGTTAGTTCAGAATCAGAGCCTATCATATTGGGGAAATGATACATTTATTTACACATAATTTGTACCAGGCATACTTTAAAATATATTTATTCATTTAACACTTAAACCTGAGAGATAGGTATTGTTTCCCAGATAATAAAGCAGAAAAATATTGAATAACCTGCCAAAGGTCACAAGATATTCATTCTATGGATGTGTGAAGTAAGTTCACCTGGCTCCAAAGCTTGTAGTTTAGTTTTGGTTTTTCTTCCCACTGCACCATCTTATCCTCCAAAATCATTAGTGATACATATGAAGACAACCAATTTAAAAAAACAAAACAAAACAGAAATACACAGTGGTCTCCCTTATAAATTCCTGGCATGGCTTTTCTTTAACATCTAGTAAATATAAACAGATTGTTTTAAATCTATTTTAGAATGTCAACAATAGGAGAATAGTCCCCAAAAGAAACACCTATAAAAACCAAAACTTTTGGAACAAAAATAATGGAACCCTCATTTTCAAATTAAGCTACAAAGACAGAAAGTACAACTCTAGTTATCATTTAAGCACTCAAATCATTATTGGCTACAAGAATACTTTTAGAGTTTATATTACTTTACAATTACTAAGAAACATTCTGTATAAAAGAAGTCAATTGGTAATTTCAAATCTCCCATTTGATTTATAAAATCCTTTAATTTTTCCTCTATTTCTTAAGTTCCAATATGTTTAAATTTGCTAGTTGTATGAGATTGAGTCATGAAAAATGGTAATCTTTTTGAAATACATATGAAACATGTTACTTTAGTCCTAATTTAAAGAAATTGTGGAATCTCTCTTAATGATAACCTGATATTAAAGGAAACTAAAACAAGAAAATGTGATTGTGAATTCCACAGTACTATATTACATTGGTTTTTAGGCTTTTTGTTTGGTATAAAGTAAAACCAAAAATTACTCAAATTAATTACCACCTGGTGGGACTGCAATAGTAACTTACTAATGATATATAAAAGTTAAGTTTTCAAAGCCACCTGGAAGACAGGTTTGGCTATTGTGTTTTATCAACAGCACAAGGAAATATATGCTGTTAAATCTGTTAAGGATTTCACTTTGAGGGATACAGTCAAGAAAATATATAGTTACTATTAATATATTCCTAAATCCTGCTTCTGGCTCCATTGTGGAATTACAGAAATTAAATATTATGCCTGTTAATTTCTGTATCAAAGTCTAAAACATTACCAAAGTTTATACAAATTCTACTACCTGACCTTTATTCCAAGAAGATCTGGAAGTTAAATAAATTTAGAAATTTAATAACATTCATTTTGTCTAATTTTTATATTTCCTTTCTCAGCTAAGTGGTGGGTTTTTTAAATGATGATTTGTTATGAAAGCAAAATCTACTTAATTGGCCTGTGCTTTAATGGTTAAAATTAGTAATTTCAGAATTAAAGAATGAGACTGATTCAAAAGTGGAGCTAGAGTTTCATAAAACCCCAAACACCTTTGGGAAAGTGTGTACTTAGGAATGCTTTTATGATATTTTATTTCTCTATTATGGTGAACACAATGGAGTGTCCAGGACCAAATAATTATCATAGGAAAGTAGGTAACTGACCTTCAGCAAATACAACTAATTTCACACTTACATTGAGACTCTATAGTACCCTTCCTTTATCCAATATGTTAAAAAACAACTGTGCATTAGCATGTTATAGTCAATAGGGATTCTTTTTACTACCTTTATAATCACTTCTCAACTATTCCCAAAAGTGAAAGACATGCTCATTTTCCCTGTATGTGTTACCAGAACCTGATTATTTTTATAACAGGACATAATTTTTACAGTGTTTAATACACTGACATTCTACCAAAAGTGGAGCAAGTAGAATTAATATTACGCAAAACTTATAGGAATCATCTGAAGACTCCTTGGGGACTGCTTTCTTGGGCAAATGCAAAAGTCTGTGTTGTGTAAATAAAGTACATTGATGTCTGCCCTCACATTTTATATCAGCAACTAATCATAACCAAATTTTGACATGCTCCGCAGATTTTCATTATTAACAGAAACTATCTAGTTATTTAGTGAAAACTTGAATAATTCTTAGTTTGGTGTAATTTCACAGTGTTCAATTACTAAGCTACAAATAGATACATAGATACATTGTCACATATAAAAGAAAATAAGAAAATTTTAATTTTAGAAATTAATTGAAGGAGCAACAAAGTTTAATATATTAAAGATATTTTCAGTATATTCTCTTTTTATATTTATAATTCCAGGAAAGAGGGAATGGAGGAAAGGACTTGATTAGAAGATAGAAGACCTGAGTTTCCATATTGATTTTTTAACTAATTCAATATAGCACTATTAAGTCATGTGACTTTGATTAGCCTCAATTTTCCTCATCTATAAAAGTAGGAGTTGGGCTACATTACATCTAAGTTCCCTACCAACACTGAAGTTCTATACCTTTATGAATTTGTTGCATACATGACTATGGTGGTTCTTTTATTAGTAACAATTTTGCCATAGTGTGAGTGAAGGAAAGATGCATAGAGAGGAATGGGGAGAGGGATGAAGAAAAAAGAAACTTATTTTAAAATTCTGGAGCCCTAGGGAGAAAAAATATATGTAACACATCCACCAGTTCATTGAAAAATTACAGACATGTTTCAAAGAACTAGGACAGAAAGGTGTCCTTGCAAAATAAATACCTAGTTTAATTTTTAAGCTCTTTTTCACTTCATCTTCTGATTTTTCCTGTTGCCTTTTGCATTTCCTCATGCCACATAGAACCACTAGAATAATTAGCTTCTTAAAGTGAGCTGAGTAGGTTCAATAAATTTATAAAATATCACTGAAGGCAGGTATTTACAAACTAACATAAGTGCTCTGAAGGGAAAAAAAGGTGGTTTTTATATAAGCATATAATAAGAGTTTCTGACCTAACTGGGATTAGTGTAGGGAGTTAGGACCAAGAGAAAAAGGTGGGAATTTTGGCAAGAACAGAAAGTTCAAAGGTAAGAGAAGCTAAAATATAGAAGAAATCAGAGGCTGAGTAACTCTCTATGAACATCTGTCATGAATTTATAGACCCATTATTAAGGGTCTAGTACTTTCTGATTTGTTTCCATGAGATTTTTTGAAACTTTAGATTCTTAAATCTTGCCTGACTGATAGTAGGAACTAGCTAGTTAGGGAAGATGTCTGTATCACTTCAATATGTACACGTCAGCCATTTCAGGGGGGCAGAGAATGAGATTTCTAAAAGGGAACAGAAGGAGTGGAAGGAGAAGCAGCATGGTGGTGTTTTGTGGAAGATGGATCAACAGTCCAACAGAATTAATCAAACCAAGACAAATTGTGTCTGGTAAATGCTGATGAGATTTGTGAAATATTTCCAGGCCTAAAATAATGGCAATGTGTTCATTCTCTACTACTATCCTGATTTTCCATAAAACTTTTTTCAATTTCAGCTGTCCAGATGGAATTCCTTACTCCTTATTTGCCTCTTGAACCCCCTACTCAAAGATTTTAATATCATTCCTTGCACAAGAAAAAAAAACTTCATTTTACAGAAACTCAGTAACTTTCAGATATAGCTGTATTAATTACATAAATAAAAGGAAATTTGCTTTAATACTAGTGCTGCTAATGAAATAATATGTAACTGACATGGATTATATATTAAGCACAGTAATATAAATTAATGCATGGGTCAAAAACAAGCACCAATTCTGACTAAATTGAGGTCACTAAATATAAACCAAATAGTTTGCTGGAAAAAGAACTATGAACCATGTATTAATATGACATGCTGACTACCTCACAGCTATCCACATTATACTAGAAGTTTACAAAGGAATCCCAAACACCTATTAATCCATTTTCCACTCAGTAGCCCCTGGCATTAAACTTCCAGTAGCTTCCAGTATACAGAGTCAGTGCTGGCACAGAAAATATTTTACAGCAGAGTTCAAGTCAAAACTTTAAGGCCAATTACAATAATTAAACCATGCCTCATTTCCCTTCCATATTTGGCCTCCTCTCCAAATGCATAATCTTCTATTTATCTATCCTCCCATTATCATAATTCTCTCTATTATGATGTGGTTGGGGCTACTTCCTCTGAAATCTGTCTTATGTGATCTCTGGGTCTCCATTCCATTTTAAACAAACTCCCAGCTACCTTATATCTGTTCAAAACTTTCTCCATTTCCATTGCTTTGGCTAAAAACTGTATCTTCCTCAGAATTCAATTCCACTTTCTTCCACACCAGATACTAGGTACTGAGCTATGGATAACAGAGAAGGAGTTAAGACCAGAAATGTGTGGTGTTGAAGTAGCTTTCAACATAGTCCAAAACCAAATATTTAAGGATTATGCATTTTTCTTCAGGTTTCTCTTTTAGTATAAATATGGTAATTGCATTTTGTTTTCCTTATCTAATTGAGCTGGAAATAGTGTCATTGTATGTTATTCGTATTTTATAATTATAAGAGATAATACATAAACATAAAACAATAAAAAGTTTATTCTGTTCATAAACCCACAGACAGATCAGCAGAATATTAACACATGACATGGAGTTTTCTTCTGAAGGGTAACTATTGGAAAGATTTATATAG